TGCCCTCCTAACCATACCCAAGCACTCCAAATTTGTTGGCGATGTCCATTTTGCTCTCTTGAGTTCATGGTGACCTAACCCTAAGTGGAATTTTCCTCCAATGGGATTCTCCCATGTATTTTACCAGGAAACAGAGATAGGGCAGCCTAGAAAAGTCAGTGCCCTCCTAACCATACCCAAGCACTCCAAATTTGTTGGCCGATGTCCATTTTGCTCTACGAGTTCATGGTGACCTAACCCTAAGTGGAATTTTCCTCCAATGGGATTCTCCCATGTATTTTACCAGGAAACAGAGATAGGGCAGCCTAGAAAAGTCAGTGCCCTCCTAACCATACCCAAGAACTCCGAATTTGTTGGCGATGTCCATTTTGCTCTCTTGAGTTCATGGTGACCTAACCCTAAGTGGAATTTTCCTCCCATGGGACTTTCCCATGTATTTTACCAGGAAACAGAGATAGGGCATCCTAGAAAAGTCAGTGTCCTCCTAACCATACCCAAGCACTCCAAATTTGTTGGCCGATGTCCATTTTGCTCTACGAGTTCATGGTGACCTAACCCTAAGTGGAATTTTCCTCCCATGGGATTTTTCCATGTATTTTACCAGGAAACATAGATAAGGGCAGCCTAGAAAAGTCAGTGCCTTCCTAACCATACCCAAGCACTCCAAATTTGTTGGCCGATGTCCGTTTTGCTCTCTGAGTTCATGGTGACCTAACCCTAATCCTACTAGGTAATAGAGATGAGAAGGATAATAAGTAATAAAGCCTTACTACGTGGTTTGGCATCCTAAGGGCTAAGACGGTGCCGTGGGAATTATGTGTTTAGCAGAGTGATGGCATTTTGGGGGCGAAAAACTAACTTTTGTGTCCGGCTGTTCTGGTGCGCAATGCCCTACAGCGTCGTCTTGAGGGAAGAAGTTGAAACAGTTTATGTACAGGTTATGGGGGAGGGCTGATAATAAATAAATGCACCGGTCTTTAAAATGGGCATAAAGTTAAGCTGGTGTCACTTTTTTCCCCTCCTGGATATGGTTGTGGGGTGGTTTAGGAAGAACGTGAGGTTCCTTCGCCCTGCTAGCAGAATATAAAAAGAGGAAGCGAAGAATTTCCCCTTGTGATGTTCATTGGGTGACTGGTTTACCTCTAGGTAACCCCTACTACGACAGCCTGGGCTCTCTGGGCGTGGGGACTTTGTTGGGAGTTGTGTCGGCGTTCCTCATCTACACTAACACGGAGGCCCTGCTGGGCAGATCCATCCAGCCCGACCGGCTTCAGAAGCTGACCGAACTACTGGAGTGTGATGCTGCAGTGCGGTAAGAGGAGTTCCGTTGGAGATCCATCCACCCAACGGCCCAACGGGTGGAAGGGCTGCAGTAGACAAGAGTAGAGTCGGAGCAGAACGTGGAAAGCGTGGAAGGGAAATTAGCAAGAGAGTCTTTGTCGCTCAGGGTGGAGCTGTGGAGCCCCCCCGTGGTGCTTCCTGACCTTGGTTGTTTACTTGACCCAACTAGGTAACATCATCAGTGCTAGAAGGGAGGAGGAGGAGGAGGACTGTGGGGTCCTTGGTGCTCTCTGAGCTTGGTGGCTTTCTTGCAGACGTTTCATGACCCAACTAGGTAACATCATCAGTGCTAGAAGGGAGGAGGAGGACTACTGTGGGGTCCTTGGTGCTCTCTGAGCTTGGTGGCTTTCTTGCAGACATTTCATGACCCAACTAGGTAACATCATCAGTGCTAGGAGGAGGAGGAGGAGGACTGTGGGGTCCTTGGTGCTCTCTGAGCTTGGTGGCTTTCGTGCAGACGTTTTGTGACCCAACTAGGTA